TCTCCATTTATTTAGTTCTTTGATTTCTTTTATCAGAGGTGTGTGATTTTCCTCATACAGATCCTGTGCATATTTGGTTAGGCTTATATCTAAGTATTTTCATTTTGGGGGGTGCTAATGTAAATGGTATTGTTTTCTTAATTTCAAATTCCTTGATTACTGCTGGTATATGGGGAAGCAACTGACTTTGTATATTAACCTTGTATCCTGCAACCTTGATATAATCGCTTATTATTTCCAGGATTTTTTTTTTCTTGGCAGTTCTTTCAGATTTTCTACATAGCCAATCATGTTATCTGTGAACAAAGACAGTTTTATGTCTTCTTCTCGATCTGTAAACCCTTTACTTCCTTTTCTTGCCTTATTGCCTTAGCTACGACTTCCAGTATAATGTTGACAAGGAGTGGTGGAGGTGGTTTATCTTTAATTTTTTTCACATTTGTCTATTTTTACCTTTTTTCTATTTTATGCTTTCAAGTTATATTTCAGTAATTCATTCCAGCATGTAATGTTTCATCAAAAGTAATCTTTCATTTAGTATGAAGATAAATGCTTATTGTGTAGTAAAATCTTCTTCAATACTAATAAAATGCTTTCTTACTAAGTTAGGGCAATAAGACTTGAAAGAACTGGACAAAATTAACAAAAGTTTTATTTTTTATTTTCTTTTATTTTAAAGCTTCAGTGCATGTTTTTGTATCCTAGTTGTTAGTTTAGTTCTCTAATTTGAACACCCCGGAAACATGCAGAAAATTGGGTTTATTTTTCATAAGTTACTCTCTTTAAGGCAGAGGTTTTCAAACATTTTGTAACCACAGATATTTTTTTCCCAAAAGAAACATGTTGTACATGCTTAATATGTAAAACTGGAAAATATGAGGCTGCTCTGGCTGCTATGGACTGCCTTGGTTTGTCCCGCTCTCTTTCCCAGACCCGCCTCCCTTCTCCCACTGGGTTGAGAATACTAGGTAGGACCTACAGTTGCTAGGCTGGAAAACCTCTGCTGTGGGGCAGAGTTTCTCCGAGTATGATCAGCACCAGGACTTCTGGGCCTGTACCCCCAGCCAACCGAGTCAGAATTCCTGGTCCTGGAATAAGCACAGAACAAGCATCCCGAGACAACTCATCTGCATTGTGCATCACTGCTCCAGGAACTCCAAACTGTCATCTTCATTGAAGGAAAATAATCACATAAGCACACTGCTTGCCGGCAGTCATTCCAAATAATCCTATTTGAGGTATTACATTCATTCAAACAGTGGAATTACCGAGATATTTTAAGAGTGAAGTCTCATTTTCTCTGCATAATTTTAAATAAAGCATTAGTTCTAAAAGTTAAATATACAGAAATCCTGATGAATGGCTTACTACATTTACAATTTTAAGTAATTTAGTAAACATTTATCCCACTTTTCTAGGAGATTTGGGGAGAAACTACAGTAAATTGGACAAATATCTTGTCTTCAAAGAGAGAAAGTATATGCAGAAGGAACTAGAATACAAAATAGAAAGTAATAAGAGGTTCTGAAAAGGAGATGATTCTTTCCAGTTTTGAAGATTAAGCAATGGCTGCTGGTAGTCCAGAGTTTTCAGTTTAACACAGAGTTAAGACTTAAAGTTGACCTGGGATAACTCATCTTTCTTTTCCTAATCCTTTCCGGATGCACCATAACTAACATGTCCTCTTCAGCACAGCAGGCAGGGTACCAGAGGAGCTCTCACCTGGTCTGGGGAGGTGCTGGGAGAAGGAAGCACACAAGGATGCCTCCCCTGCTGGCCACTTGGCGTGCCAGCAAGTGGTGCCACGGCCAGTCCCCAGCCCTGCAAAATACACGCAGCTAACAGGCCACCAGTCAGTGAGTAAATGAGAAACAGGGTGATGAGCGGTCAGATTAACTGAGATCTGCGTGGGAAGTAAAGGCTGAACAGTCTCGTCACAGAGCAGACAGCAGTCTGAAGGCTCTTGCTACAGTGATGCTGTCATTTATCATATTGTGTACATTTACAAGAAATTATTTAATCTACCATTTGGGTTGAAATAATTACACATTTCAATTAAAAATATAAAGAGAATCTTAGACATTTAACAGAATTTTCTCAGAGCCTACTGACATCTCAATCCCTATAGAAAGAGAATATTTTCTTAACTGAAAGTATTACGGTCTACAGAGTCAACTGAAGGTGTCAATTATTCCAAATTTATTAACCACAAAATAAAACTGAAGAAGACTGAGGGCAATTTTATGATAAAATAAAATAATTAGATAAATACCAGTGACAAGATAGTAGAGTTAGATACATTAGGAAACATTAAAGTATGTGAATATGTAAAAGGGTATTCTGCTAATATTATTATTAATGCATAGGCAATGTACATAAAGGTTTAATTTTGTGCTAAAGAACATGAATATGTTTTTTATTTATAGAAAGAATCCTTTTTTGAAAATCATATAAAAGAACTAGTTTATAGGTCTACTAACATAAATCCAATTTGTTGATCAAAGGTATATAAATATATCATTTAATTATATTTTAATGTAACCTTTAACTCTTAAATATACCCTGTTTGGACAAAATATAAGGTCACCCTATCCATAAACAATACACACCACTGTTTTGGAATTTATGTATTGAAATTTTGCATAAACTACGTCTTACTGAACATTCCTTTGCAATTTATAACTTTTTGTACCCATCAAACTAATCACTATTATTTTTCACACCAACATTCATTTAGATTGATCCATATTTACCCATGTACTTGCTGAACACCATCTCTTGTGTCCCATTTCTTCATCTTGGGTTCAAACTCATTCTTCCCTGTTGTCAATACTTCAACAGCTCTTTCAGACTGAGTGCAAATATTCTCAGCATTTGTCTAAAAATATCTTTATTTTCCTCTCACTGTTGAAAAATAGTTTGGTTGGGTAAAGAATTCTGTTACCAGGTGTTTCCTGCAGGCATTTGATATTACTCCACTACCATTTTTCTTCTATTATTCCTGTAGGGAGCCATTCAAATTATTGTTCCCTTCTAGGTCATCTCTTTTCTTCATTTGATTTTAAGATCTCCTCTTTGTCCTTCCTTTTTGAAGTTAATTCATTTTTATTTATCTTGATCAAGACCAATTGCGTGCTTTTTTATTTATCTTGCTTGTGACTATGTATTCTTAAATCAGAGGATTTACCCATGCTGAAAAATTCTCAGCCATTCTCTTCAAAAATTGTCTCTCCTCTCTGTTCTCTATTCTCCTATAATGGAATTCCTATCAGATATACATTCATCCATCTCATTCCAAACTCATTGTCTCTTAAAATTATTTTCTACATTTTAACTTGTGTCACATGATTGGCAATTCCCTCAAATTTATCTTCTAGTTCACTAATTCCCTCTTTGGCTTTTCCCAATTAGCTATTTTAACTCATCCACTGAGGATTATTTTTCTTTAATCAAGTAGCTAAAATTATCTTCTATTGGATAGCAATTTTTTTCTATTATGTCTGTTTTGTGTTTTAGGTTTCAATTTGTTCTTTTATGCTTTAATTAACATAAAACATTTTTGTTTGTATTCTGTTTCAAATTGACATTTTATTTTTTGAAGTTTTGGGGGAAACCAATCTTCCAGTTTATGGTGTATGCTCACGTCCACTCAGGGTGGAAAATTCCTTTGTTTGATTTATAATGTTTAATCATGAATGTCCCTTTAGTAGGGCTTGGTTCACTCTGGAGGCACCAATGCCATGTCACCCAAGTGTTCTCTGGAAGGATTTTATGTATGCTCTACTTGAAACATCAGATGTACCATAACCCTGGGACTGAGATTTATATTACTTATCATTCTGGACCACATAGGTATAGGAGAGGTTTAGATTTATCTAATTTCTCCCCATTTATTACTTTTTTGCCCATTTCTCACATATATTTTTTAGTCTCCTACGTGCCCAGTGTATGTGAAGGACAGCCTTTCTCCCCTCCACAACCACCTCAGGACCACCAGAATATCAGCTCATGCACTTAAATTCTGGGTATATTCAAGCTTGTATTTAAAGACAGCTGTGTTGTTTCTACTTTTTCACTCGTCCCTAGAAAATTTCCTTCTTTTATCTGCAATCTCATCTATGATTTTTTAAAATTTATTAAATTTTATTTAGTAGATGTAACAGGAGACATTTCGTATTATTTTAGGCCTCCATCTTGCTGGTTCCAGAACTTTCTGATACTGTGAAAGCCATACTAGCCCCGGACTGCCTATGTCTTCACTTATTGTATGTAGGAGAGAAATAGACCTTTACCTTATAAAGTCATTGTTATTATTTTGTGTTTTCTGTCACACAGAAATAATCCTGTTATACTTTTGACTACTTAGATTGAAGAATAAAAGACTAAAGGAAACATTAACATTGTCAAGATAACAAAGGGAGCACCACCCTTGCCAAAGGAAAACATTTTTGAAATTGGTTGTAGCATAGAGAGAAGGAAGGACCTTTCACACAAAGGATATTCTTAACATTATAACACGTTGTCTTAGAACCTGCAGATGACTAAATTACCTCTGAAGTTCTCCTTCTGCTTTTTAAAATTTCTTTACATTATCAGAAACATAATCAACTAAACTTATTTTAAGAAATTCAGAAGTAGAAGAAAAGAAAGGCAAACATTGAGAGGGATGTTTATTATATATATGATTATATATAATCATATATTTTGACCTAGCACAACATATCACATGTCCCCACCACCCCTAGCTCCTCAAAAAAAATACTTTCATCATGGTCCTGACACCTTCTCCATCCTTTATGTTCATTCTAACATGACAATTTTGTTTCATTGTACTTACTAAACGTATTCACCTCAAATTTTACATCCAAGTACACTGCTTCTGGTGCTGTCTCATTCTAGAACTTATAATGAACTAAATATACACATAGGGAGGCCCTTCTCCATGGAGACTTTACTACAGAAAATGCTTTACTGGCCACAGACAGAGTCTTCACAATTACCTGGCCTTCCAGCTGGCGGGGCATCCTTCTCGCAGTCATCGTTCAGAATAACAGCCAGGCCCACCGAGCGGGTGGGGAGGACGGAGCTGCTGAGGTCCACACGCGTTAAGCTCTCAGGCTCCCTCTCAGAGCCCCCCACGGCAGCGTTTCGGGGGCCGTCCTCTCCAGGTGTGTTCCTTTCTAGGTCTTTTCTCTGGGGTCTCAGCACAATGTGAACGATGCTCTGCTGATCCAGGTCACAGCTCTGTGTGGGAGGAAGGTGAAAACACACAAGAAAGGGGCAAGCATGAAAACGCCAGATAAAGATGAACTTGTCCTCAGTCCTAGAGTATGCAAAGACTCTAAAATCTGTTTAGGTACGAGATCTGCCCGCGGTCTCGGAACTTAAAGGACAATGACAGGTATGACTGATCAAGTTAGGCAGACTTACCCCGCCAGCAGGGCCACAGCACTCACACACGTGTGTGTTACACAGCTATGCTGAACTGCGGCCAGAAACTGAGATGGGGGGGTAGAAGGAACACAACCACAGAAAACTACAGTAACATTCAAAGGGACATGAAATGTAGTAGGAAAAAAATGTACCACACGCCATATAGAAGCCCAGTGAAAAGTAACATTCTTTTAAAACTGGCTGACTTCAGAAGTGGTATGTCCTCATAATTATCAAATTTAAATACTGGCATTTGTTTCTGCTTTAAAAAGCACGGAGAGTTGTTATTATCCATCACAGGGCATCTTTCTCTAGAACTTACAACAAACGCGTACGGTGGACTCCACAACACCGCCTGCAGCGCTAGGAAACACATCGCCAGACCAATGGGGAGGGGCAAGTGAACAGCACCCCGATGTGACTCCACCCCAGGAGTCGTCCACTGATTCACCCTATTTCACAAGTAAAATCAGTGAACATCTACAACAATGTTCTGCACCTATATACTGATACGTATGAACAGGAGACTAAAATTTAGTGGAAGCAAACTTAGAAGTCAGATTATTTGCTAGGACACAAACTAGACTACTTTAAATCAAATCCCGGTTTCAGAATATCTACTGGATAGAAATAATCACTCATCTGTCTGCTACTTTATTCCCACAGAGTAAGAGCTTACTCTCTCAATAAACCCCTGAATCTCAACGTCTTCAAATTACCTGTCGCCATTCTCTCTCATCTTAGCAATGTTCAGAGAACATCCACGCAAAACACAAGGATACTAATAACAATAATAAATCCTGCCCCCTTCCCGCCCCACCCAGCGCTCTGTTGCCATCACTATCCAACTTTAAGAGTGGTGCCCCTCACTCATTGGTACTTCCTGCCGGCACACCACTGCTTGGTGTCTGCCTCCTCAACTCCAGAAGGTCACCAGGATGCCCTCCAGTCCTAAATCCCATTCCTTCCTCTTCTCCATCCCACACCCTGGACCTCTGTCACATTGACATGCTTGTTCTCCCTGCCGCCTGTCCTCACAGCTCTGCGTCACTCCCCAGGACAGCTCCCACTCAGCAGTGGTCACTGGTTCATCATTCTCTGTTCTTACAGTCCACCCCTACCTGACTTTCCTATTTCTGTCAAAGCACAGCCATCTTCCATATTATCCAGGTGTCAAGCCCTCCCCTCCCACCTAAAACTCTGATTAGCCTCCCATGTCTTCTAAGCGCGTCAATAGAATCACCACCTTGGACCCCTCCTTCCTCTGCTACATCCAGCGAGAGGCCAAAAGTAACTAATTCTGACTCTGAAATACCCCCTAGGTCCTTTACATCCCAGTGGTCACCTCCCCATTTGAGGCCTCCATCGTGACAATAGATTTGTAATTACTTCCTTACCTCTGCTCTCTCCCTACAATCCATTATACACAAGAATTTGTGGTGTGTGTCCACCATCTTTCTAAAGTGCCTCACAATTAGCTGTGAAATAGAATCTAACGTCTTACCACCTTCTTCAACTGTGATTAGACTTTTCTCCTTTCTAGATCAACTGTCTCATGATTTTTATCTTCTTTATCTCTCTTTCATTTTACATGTGGTAGATTAGATTACTCTTCAAAAATATTCACTCTCATCTCCCCTCCTCCTACCCTTGATTTCGGGCTCAGCCATGTAATCAGCTTTGGCCAAGGGGACATGAGCAGATGTGATTGAACCAGGGACTTAAAATGTATTTGCACCACTGCCATGGCCATCCAAGCCATGGCCATCCAAAGAGCACCTCTGGGTAGTGTCTGCCTCTTCAGTCTGGGCCCCAGAATTGCACACGTGGCAGAGACCTGAGCCCAACCCACAGGGAGGATCAAGTGCAACCACAACCACAGCTTGAGCAGAGCCTTCCCGCTGAAGGCAGGACCCCCAACTGACCAGAAGCCATGTAGGACAGAGATGCTCATTAATGTACGGCACTGAGATTTTGCAGTTGTTCACTCAGCAGTAATAGCTGACAATACTCTATTTTCCATTCTGATTGGCCTAATCGACATCTTATCATTAGTTATCATCACATCAGTGCTTAGCTGACACTCTAGGAACTGTACATAGTCTTTAGCCTAAGTAATTTCAAACAAACAGACATCAAGGTCTGAGTACACTCAAGGCGGGGCATGTGAGGACAGGAGCTTTGCAACAAGAAGAAACAGCTGAGAATCAGCATCTTAACATATCCTGAGGTTTTTATTCACATTGTGTCCTTCTCAAGGAGGATTAAGAATTCGGTCAGATACAATTCCTCTCTCCACATCAGGACTTGTGTGCTTCAAGTGATCCTGCCAGATGAAAGCAATGCCTTTCTCTCTCATCTGAATGCCAACCGTCTCTGCCCCTCGTGCTCTTCTTACTGCAGTGGTCAGAGCCTGGACAGGACGTGTGTGGGGAGTGTGTGTGTGTGTGTGTGTCTGATCTTCCGACTTAATTTAGAAATTCTTGAGAGCAGCGACTGGGTCATATTTATCTTTTTATTTACCAGAATGTCTCACACAGCGCTTTGAACCTAGTAGATATGAAAAATATGTCTGTGAATTGAAAAGGTGAATGACTGAGGGGCAACAAGAATGAATGAACAAATAAATATAAATCGTCATAAGTTCAACACCCAAAGTGCTGCATGGGGAAGCAGGAGAATGTGGAAGAAAGAACATGGAATGTAAAGTCATACAGACTCAAGCCCGATGTAATTTATTAGCTGTAAGATTTTGGCAAATTACTTTTCCTCCCTCAGCTTCAATTTCTACATCTGTCATTGGCAATAATATTACCAACTTTGAAGACTGTTCTGAAGATTTAAGGAAATATAAAGAGTGCACACTCCGATCCATAGTAATAACTCAGTACATAGTTTTAGTATTGTTATCATCATTTATGAGTTTTGAAAACTAAAGAGGATGGGTCCCTTGCCTGTGCATCAATAAAGCCTCAGAATCGTATTTGGCTGCACCACTCACACAACCCTATTTGGAAAATGTACAAAGAAGGTGGAATAAACAGAAGCTATAGATGTGACAATTATTCTGGTAACATTCCAGCTTTCTGTGAACTTAAACTTGATGCCAAAAAACATCCCTGGATGCTCAGATGCCATGAAACACATGAAGAACCTGAGCAAAATCTCAGGGGCTACTAAAATTTGATAAATATAGAATAAACCCAAAAACTGAGATTTTCCTGTCAAATGCAGATTTTCCTAATGCTCAGGGTAGAGCTGCAAAGGGGACTAGAAAGACCCCAAACAGATTTCAGTAGTTACAGTGATATTTATAGAACGTATTTCCCTCAGTCCCCATCCACGGCTCTGCGAGTTCATTGCTTATTTCTTTGACTCCCTCATAGAAAACGTGTTGATCGCCGGAAGCAGCTCCTTTGCAGACGGCACAACTGCACCATCATGCTAGTTCAGCTCAAAGCCACGTTAATAACACAGCCCGCGGACAATAAATTGGATAACATTTACTTGTCTAGCCACTCCAAAGCCCAAAATAATATTTAGTTCCCATGGCATACAAATAATTCCTGAGCTTTGTGAGGTAGAGATTTTCACTGGGAAGACAGCAGAGTTCTCCAATAAGGGTTTAAGCATCCTTGGGGCAAAAACAATGTCTTATTTATCTTTATTTCCTCAATAACCAGAATATTGCCTGGCAAAGAGGAAACATAATACATTTGTGGGTTTTTTTTTAAATAACAACTTATTAATTCAACAAGTAAGGCAGTGACATAAGTTGTTTAGTGTGGACAAAACAAGTAGGTATTCATCCAACTGGGCTTGGTCTCATGCTGCCAAGCAGAGTTATTGTCCCATTGGCGACTGAGACATCAGTATCTTGGGCTCTTTCTCTACAGAAGTTTTGATTTTGAGATACCCCAGTATTAACAAAATATCTATCAGAGTTGTTTGCCAACCAGTGACCAACTCTCACCCAACTGGCCATTTAATATGCAAGAAATTGATGTATCTTTCTTTTTCCAAAAAGGAGCCCCTTTGATGCATGTAGTTAGGATTCAAATATTTAAGAGTATGGTAATATAATGAGAACACTGGAAATAAGCAAAATTTAAAAAACCTGATAATGCTTTTCAAAATATTCTTAACATTTTAAACCTTGTAAAATTAAGTAATGTTACTCTAACAAAAAAAATTACTAGGGATTGATAAGTTATTGGAATGTTTTCCAAACACTTAAAGAAGGGTTAGACAGATAATCTCTAGAATGATTAATAATGAGATTCAAAAATAGTTAATAAGGTCACATTATTAACAAAGTGCTTTCATGTGCTATAACAATAACAATTACATTAATAATAAAAATAAAATAAATACATAATATTTTGAGATCTAACTATCCTGTGGACTGTGTTACAAGGTCTTTAGATATAATAACTTGTTTAATATTCCATAGTCCTCTAAGGGAGCCACTGCTACCATCCACAGTGAGTCATGTGTAAAGCCAGGAGAACTGAGCCCGGCACAAATAAAGCTCTTTAAACATTACTGTTGTCACTGTTGTTCATTTCATTTCTTCATATCTTCCAACAGAAGATGAAGGCGAGTCACAGAGAAGTCCATAACATATTCAATGTCACCCAGCTCCTAAGTGTGAAGCCAGGATAGGAATCCAGGCCAAGGACTCCCCAATATCCTTCCCTGACTCCCCCAATCTCCACAGTGTGGCTGCTGAGAGGAAGTGGGGTAGAGAGAGGAGGACAAGTCTACAGAGGCCATGGTGAAGAGAGGGGTTTGGAAAAGCTGCAATGGAT